CTTCAAGAACAGTCGTAAATTCGCGATGAGATGATGCAACTGATGTAATAGGAAGCAAATAGGAAAGAAATGACATAAAAAATTCTCTATGCATGAATTCCTCAATAAGTAAATAGATGTTTGCTTAAGGATTGAAATGTTACATGATTTTTGTTCTACATATGCTACTAATTTGATGCAAAGTTCTATATTTAAACAGGAATATCAATAGGAAGATTTAAAATTTACATCTGCACATTTGCTCAAGTTTCATTTATAATTTTTCCCATAAAATTTTATTTTGTTGTTGTTGATGTAAAAACTAAGTAAATATGCTTGATAATTTATTTTATGCTTAACGCTGTAAACATACGTGGGCAAATATTTATCAAATGATGCGAAAATGTTCGAGAGAATTTATGGAATTATTTGATTATGCTTTAGAGTAGGAAGGTAGATGTATAAATGAGAAAATGTTTATCATTTTTCATTACATTGAGTTTTTTAATAAGCTTGTAAGATTTTCTTCGCTTGTGGCATTTGTGTTGGATGTTTTGGGAAATTTATGATAGAATAATGATTGTTCATCAATCTAATGCCTTTAAGCCAATAATCGGTATCATTGTTTGATTCGTGTTGTAGTTAGGAATGTCCTATGACTTCTTGTGTTATTGAGTGTTAAATCAGTTCTTCAAGAAAAATCAATAAAACAATTTCCAAAGCGTGGAAACTCAGGATTAATCCTAAAAAATGCCTGGGCCAATAAACAATGTGAAATCCTTTTTAAATCCCTGATGCATTTGATGAATAACTTCGGATCTAACTTTTTAAGGATTAATTCTGAGTTTCCACGCCTTGACAATTTCAAAACATTTTAAATCAACAACACAAAAAAATCCGATCTAATTTAAGTGATTAAATAATCTGATAAACTTTTCATCTCCTCTTAAAAATAGAAAACTTATTCTTTGTGACATGCAAACATCCCAGTTCAGCCTTATTGTCTTTGTCGTCCGATTCTTTATGTCAGCAATTTTTCTCTCTCAAATTGAATTAAAGCGGAAGCAAAAAACAACGATTGGATGGAATGAAGATATTGAAATATTTTTTTTAAAGAAAAAGTTGTAAAAAGATTATCTAAGAAGTAAAGGGATCGTTCAAAAATAATGTCTTTTTAAACATTTCTGTCGATTCCGACAAGAAAATTAATTAAAATATTAATTTTAATTTGAGATTTAAGTGTTGTTTTAAATTTTTATTTTAATTTTTGATTCGCAATTTTAATTTTTTTAACTTTTATTCCACTTTGTGTTTTTTTTGTTTTATTTTAATTTTATATTTTCACTTTAATCCTGTAAAATGTACCATGTTAGTTTTATTACAATATAATTTTTTGTTGATTTCTTACTCTTTTTCCCTTTTTAATTAATTTCCTTTTTTGTCTTCCTTCCTTCTTGCTTGATTTTTTATTTTAAAGAGAGCGAGTTCAGTAAAATTTTGTTCTACCTTAAGTAGATCAATCCAATTCAAATATTTAAAATTCCGTTAAAATTCAAATGACTAAATATCGTTAAAATGATTTTAATTCATAATGTGAATTGACAATTTCTATGCTCTGACCTCTAATCTGTCTGACACTTTTTGAGAAAACTTTTCCTACAAACAAAACCAACTTTAATATTTTTGTCACTGAAGAATCGCTCTAAAAGAAGGAGAAGACCAGCCATCAACTATATAACATCCAAAAATGAAGAAAACTTGCCGATAAGTGAAGGAAAAGTCAAATTTTCTTATCTTTTCCTGAAATAACCACTCTTTTTTATTGATATTGAGTTGGCACTTGAAATATGACTTCTGCTTCTGATGGCTTTACGCCATTCACAAAAACCGAGATGAAAATATGTCATCGTGGCAAAAAGAGCCAAAATTCGGAAGTATGAAGAAGATTGAAAGAGAATTTCTGACCGCAACAGGAAATAATTGCGAGAAAAAGATGAAATTGAAGAAAATTTTCAGAGTGATATCTTTTGAATGATTTATGAGGCAAGAAGCTTATGAATTATTATGAATAATTTAGAAATCTGAGATTTTTTTTAATATTCAGTACCTTTTTCTTTTTCAATATCGATGATTTCTAGAGGAAGAATTTTGATGCGTGGGATTAAGTTTTAATGAGAAGATGTAAAGTAAGGCGAAATGTAAATTATTTTGGTATTTTTCAGATTATTTGTAAGCTCTGTTTCAGTATTTTAGGTTGACTTTGAGGATTGTTTGCTTTTAGTAAATTTAAAGTAATTTTAACCTTTTTATCAATAAAAACGATAAAAACTCAAAAAGTTAACGGATCTCAAAATTTCAAAAGCTTTTAAGAATAAAATGGAAACAAATTTTTAAATTTTGCAGATTTTTCTAATTTAAAGTATCAATTTACGTTTTTTAAACATGCGTACTGATACGTTGCTACTTTTTTGTGTCAATCTGTTTACTTTATAATCTAATTCATTGAAAATTAGTGTTTAAAAATCAAAATTTAAAATTTTAGTTGAGAAGATAGAAATGGCGGGAAATTTTTCGTTCATAATTTAAATTTTCGTTAAATCAACGATTTTTTACTTTATAAATAATGCAAACTAAAATAAATTTCCACAGTAATTGAGATATTTTGCAATTTCAACCTTTTATATACCAAAATAATTAACAAACGGACACTTACAATGAAAAACATGCTATTATGTAGCAAAAACCCAGTAAATCTCATGAATCCATCAAGCAAAACAGGATAAATTCCGCGGCAATGACAAAAAATCCCTCGCACAAAATGACCTCAGATGTCACTCTGAAAGAAATGTATATCAATTACAAGTGCCAACCCCATCACATTGTACGTCAAGTTAAAATATGTATAAAAAAAATTGAAATATTTTTCACCCCTAAAAAGTGTTAAATATATTTCAAGGGATTGTTCACATTAAAAGCACAGCACTCATCTCAACATTCATGTAAACACTTGTTGTACACTGTATGTGGAAAGTAAAGCGAAAATTCATTTCAAGTTCATCCTTTAAGTGAATAAAGTTTATCTCGTCAAGTGTAGACTTAGCATCATCCAAAAACTCTTCAACTGTATTTCATATTGTTAATCTATAACGTTGATCATGCTGTAAATACAAACTCGTATGAAAGTTGTTGTTCATAAACAATTGAAGTGCATTTTTCACAAACAAGGTTGAAAATAAAATGTTTAAAATCCTGAAAGGGGTCGTTCACTTATGACTTCCATCAAAAAACCTGATTTTTAGACCCCCCTCCCCCCCTCTATCACAAAAATTCTATAGAAAAAAATTTCCATTGTTTGAACTGTCACAAAATCCTAACCCCCCCCCCTAAATGTCGGATGTCATAAGTGACCCGTAAGATTACTTTACCGCCCGACAGACAGACAAAGTTCGATACCATAACTTTCTTTTGGCAAAATGTTAAACATTGAAGAACAAGAAAGACTATCGCAAAGTAAGAAGGACAAATCCTAGTGATTATGTCGAAAAATGAGTCAGAAAGGATGGCAAAAAAGAAGAACAGAGATAATTTTAAAATTTGCTACCAAGAAGGGATTTAAACACGTCTCATTTCTTACGACACTTCTCAATATGTTTTTATCAACTCCTTCCTGTATGCTCTTTACGTTTATTTTTGTTTTTATACACATTTGTAAATATCGCTTGGGGAGGAACGAATGAGAATAAAGATACATTTAGAAGATAAACAAAGGAAAAGGGCACAAGAAATCCTAAAACGTTTATTAAATGAACCAACTTTTACTGATGGAAAAACTTTATAGTTTAGAAGGATAATTTTAGGAATGGCATAGAAACGCAGTAGTGCAAAAAGTTGAGAAAGGGTAACTCCACCCATCTGCTTTTTCTTTTGTTTTAATATCTTTCTGTGGCTCTCTTGTTTGCTCTAGTTATTTTCGTTGGAAATAATCAAAGGCTTGAAAAGATAATCCTCAAACTTTCAACGAAAAAATTCTCGACACTCTTATTAAAATTTTTAAACATAATATTTCTCAAATAAAACATAACCACAAATTCATGTCTATCTTATGATTGCCACTTTTTTCTATCAGAAAAGTTGCAAAATAAATTTCAATCTTTATCTGATCACAAAAAATCATTAAATAACTTTTCAAGGTGGACACAAAATGGCGGATTTTTTTTGGATTTTTGAGTCTTAATATCAAAAGCAAACATTCTAATATTTAAAGGTTTCAATTAAATAGACCCCCCTTGCTTAAATATAGGTTACTAGTCCAAAATTTTCAAATTACTTCAGAATATCTATCTATCAAAAATGTCGATAAGCTTCAACTCAAGTGCCATTAAATTTTTAACGACTTACAGTACGTATTTACTACATTCACGTGCACTTTTTGTTGTTAATTTTCGTCAATGAAATATAAAATTCATTAAGTTTTGAAAAAAGCTTATTTTTAGAAATTTAAGGAGACGAGACAAGATATCGCAAACAAAAATAAACTATTGAGACTATCAAGGCTGAGGAAATAAAGTTTATTTTCTTATTTCTATTGTAAATTTTCAGTAATGTCTGACATAACATAGGAGAAAAAACAAAACTCCCATAAATTTAAATTTTGTTGATTCAATTCGGAACTTTTTCCTCTATTTTTTGGATGCTTTCATTCTTTTTATCGGATTGTTAAAAGGAAATAAAATTGGGTCATCAATAAGGATGAAATGAAGAAGGCGATCATTTAATAAGAAATTAGGAAATTTTAAAGTTCAACTATTTACTTCTTTATTGGTATTGACTATTTTAATAACACATAAGAAAAAGTGACAGTCTAAAGTCGTTTTGAATAAATTGTTGAAATCTTAAATCTCTTCCATAACAATATGTATCTTATTCTTGCCATCTTTTTCTTGCAGAAAAATCATACAGTAATTTCAAAACTGTTATTAAACTCTAGAAATCACTAAAACAATTTTTGAGGTGAAGACAATAATAGCGGAAAAAAAGTATCAAAATTCAAAAAAATCATTACCGTTAGATTTTTAAATTTTAAGTTCTCATTAAACAACCAGATTTTAAACACATGAAAACCGTATCCTAGTAAATAAATTGAAAATAAAACATGAATTTTAATATTGATTTCAACTTCATTTCACTTTATTTTAATCAAAAAAAAAAATGAAACTGGCAGTTTAAGCTTATCATTGAGTCAATCCCGAGCGGCACAAGGTGGAGGGTGGTCTCCATATGGAATCCATATGAAAGCCACCTCCACTATGTGGGAAGTAAATGGAGGGTTATTTTTTCATCCTTCATATTGATTCCATTTGGATTCCATATGAACTCCGCTTTTTCTTAAATCAAATACCGAAAAACTCGTGCTTTTGAATTTTTAAAAGACAGAGGTCAGATCTTACTGTAATGGATTGAAATATTGTCGAAAAGCTTTACTGAATCATATTGCTTCATTTCAAGCTTTAAAAAAGCAAAAAAGGATAATTTTTTGTGATTTTGTATGAAATTACATACTTCACAAGTGCATGCAGAAATCACTATTATATGCGGTCGTTTAATTTGTATGAAAATTTTTAATAATTTCTTATGTTTCTCACGCGTGTGATCGAGACTTAGAAATTGCTGTGGTTGCGACTTAATTAAATTAAGTTGTAAATTTTTCAATGGTGTTAGTGTACTTTAATTAAGTCCACTAATACAGCTACAAATCTTGATATAAAAATTGCGAAACATAGAAAACACGTGGAAAATCGTACCAAAAATCCTTTGAAAAAAAACTTCCATTAAACCTCCGTTTGACTACCACAAATGGATCCTCCATCCTCCATCAAAACCTCCGTATGACTTCCATTTGGTGTTAATAAATGCACGTCCCACGGAAGATTTTCGGAGCTTTGGCTCCGTCAAAGTTCCATGATAGTAAGGTTTTCGGAAGATTTTCAAATGGAGGGTGGAACATGGAGGCTCCGTATAGCTTCCATATGGAAGGCAAATGGAGCCTTTGTGCCGCTCGGGAATCAGCCAATAAAAAAAATCATGAATGAAATAGAGACGAAAGGAAAAATGAAATAAATTTAATTGGTTTTCTGAAAGTATGTTTATAAAATAAATAACTCAATCCATCCTGTTTTGTACTCCGCAATTGATTAAAAAAAATTCATTTATGTTTATGCTGAGCGGTAGCGGAATTGAATTTGTATTGACATAAAATATTAATTTGAAAATTATTTCTGAGTTTGCCTTTTTTTGCGAGAATATTTTAAAAATGTTAAAGACCAACTTTCAACTATAATTTTAATTAAAAAAGTTTGGAACTAAATTGACAAATTGTTAAAGTTATTATCTAGACTGTATTTTCTCAGAACTTCAGTTATTTCTCTCACCAAGTCAGGCTTTTCAATTAAATTGAGAACTTTAAGTAGTCTCGTCAATGAGTTCCTCCTTGTTTCATACATCCTCAATAATACTAAATTTTGGGTACGAAAATCATTATGCCGAAGCTCAATATCCTTGATCTCTTCTTTTGTAAAGTCTAAGTGCCGCGCTAAACGACGAAAGACATCCAACGATACTCCGTTTGCAATTATATTGAAGATATCATTTCGCATATCTTCATCTTTGGGAATCGGTATTTTGTTTTCGGGTATTGGCGCTGGTTTTCTTGTATTTAGTATGTTTGGGGATGGTATTTGATTTGTTGGAACTGGGACCATCCGTCTATCTGTTAAGCCTTTGGGATCTCCTGCTGATGATATTTATGAATTTTAAAGATTTGATAGATTTCTACAATTGCTGACAATTCTACATCACTCAAAGACTCTATTATTTTACAATCTCATTAATGACTTTAAATGTACAAAAACTCATAAAAACATTCAAATTGAGCTTGATACAGGCTAATTCAATTTTTGTACCAAAATCAAATTTGGCGCGAAAATATTTTTATTGACATTCTCACCTGAAAAGTTTAATCTGAATTTTTGACTTAATCTTAGTTTTATTGCTTATTCAAGTGATCGATATGTGTGAAAAAGTCATGAGCAAAGCCAAAAAAAGTCTAAGACAGTACTAAGCGAGTATTTTAAAGCTATAGATACTAAAAATTATCAACTCTAGACATATTAAGTCAATGACTTGCAAGATCAATCTCAATTCAACAGCTAATCATTTTTTCACATTTTTCATGTCTAATGAGCCATAAACAGATCAAATTGATCGATTTTCAATTATTAATCAGATTCGACAAGGTTTTGCATTAATATCAAGATCTTAAATCGAATGATGAGTCATCAATTATTGGAATTAAAAAGAACTGTAAAGTATATTTTACCATATTTTTTAACTGGTACCGGATCTGGATACTTTTTGCAGAGTTCTTTCTGTTTGGCAACGAGATTTGAGTAACTTTCATCATCAATAATTTTCTCAAATATTCTAAACGTATTATATTCGATTTTTGAATACAGTCCCCTATGCTGCAAGAGCTTTAACAGCTGTTGAATGTTTGTAACAGCTTCAAGTCGCCGGGTGGATTCAATAAACGGTGCAAAAAGCTCTTTGGCTCCGAGTAATGATTCATCATTGTTTTGAAAATATGCGATGATTTTTACATTTAATTTATCGAAATTTATTTCAATCTCTGACTGCATTTTATTACTATTCCATTATTTTTTGGCACTCAAATATTTGGTATATGTTGAAAATTTAATTGAAAATTCTTTCTCTGAAATGTTTTAATTAAAAAAAATTGAGCGATTTTCACGCGAACAAACCTTTTGGTTGAACTGAACAATAACAACTCATACTCGACTGTGGTATGCACTTATAATAATAATGTTAAGCATGTGGTTGATGTACACATACCCATGCAATATCGCTTGATATGAATATTGTATGATCGTTTTGGAATTTTAGATAGTGTCAGCAGGTTTTTGTGCTGAGGATTTGTTGGTTTTGAATTTATTGTTATCCTTAAGGTCAACATTTTGCGTTTCATTAAATAATTTAACCGGTTTTTGATCAAAAATCTTTGCTTAAAATTGCAAAAGTTTTCAACTGTCAAAAAATATTCAAAAATCTTAAAGCTCTTCAAATGTTCTAAAAGAACGCCTCATTTTCGAAGTTTCGAAAATAGCATTTAAAAGTTTCGTAACAAAATCACTTTTGAAGTTTCTCAACACATAATACAATAAATTTAGCAACTTGTGCTTAACTAGACAACATTAATAACTCTTATTAACTTGAATTAAGGTAAGAAATTAACATTTTCATTCAATAATTGTTTAATATCATAAGAATTGCGAAATGTTCCGTCATTTATGAATTATTGCACTTAAAATTCCATTCAAACTAGCGCTAAAACTTTTTCAGCCTGAAAAAAAAACAATCAAGAAACCTTAACTAGCGCATAAAAAAGTTAATAACGTAATTAAAGCAAAAGTTCATATTGTGGAGACTTGAAGAATTAGTTTTATATCAGGTATAAGTCTCGGAAATTGGCAAATTATCAGAAAAGTCTAGAAAAAAATTCAAAAAGACGCGTTTAAAAAAAAAATCAATTTTGTTTTTGTTCGGCACAAAGCGTCTTTCGCATTTTTCACCATTAATCGTACATAAACATTCTTAATTTACTGTCTAATTTGACATTTAATGTGCAATTTACTTATTTCAATTATTTTTGATAACTTCCAGACATAAATAATACAGATAATAAGATGGGAAAGGATAAGGACGAACCTCAAGAAGAGTATTCAGTCGAAAAAGTGTTACAAAAGAGAATTCGTGGTGGAAAGGTAAGATCCAGTAGAAATTATCAATATTTATAGTCTTAATCTGATTTGATTCCTATCATTTGACTCAAGGTCGAGTATTATTTAAAATGGAAAGGCTATTCCGATGCAGATAATACATGGGAACCAGAGGAAAATCTCGATTGTCCAGAATTAATTGCCGCATTTGAGGAAAGTCAGAGAAAGAAGGAAGCAGCAGCTGCTGAAGCAAAAAAGAGGAAAACCACTGAAGCACTCGATACATCAAAGTCCAAGAAAAAGTCAGATAGGAAAGAAGGATTCGATCGTGGTTTACTTCCTGAGCGAATTATTGGCGCAACTGACACTTCGGGCGAATTAATGTTTTTGATGAAATGGAAGGACACTGATGAAGCCGATCTCGTACCAGCCAAGCAAGCAAATGTGAAATGTCCACAAATTGTCATTCAATTCTATGAAGAACGATTGACATGGCACTCGAGTGGCGGTGATAAGTAAACACACACACTTACTACAAGGATAATTTAATTAAGGACTTTAAACATTTAAAAAAAACTTTATTTCGGATATGTTATAAATTCCCTTCTTTTTTAAACATCGCTTCCGAGAATATTAAGGAAGTTCTTCTATATTTTTGAATTCTGATTTTCTCTATTTTTTCTTTAATTACACATGGTTTTCCGATTTGCTTGCTTAAAAGTTATTCATAGTTTCTCTTAATTTTCTCATCTAAATTTAAAACGACGTCTACATACTAAATGATTAAAATAAAGAACAACAAAAATTACTTGGCGAATTAATTTGATTAAAACCGATTTGTTTTGATATTTTCAGGATGTTTTGCAATGCTTTAATTTCAATTGGATGTGAAATTGACATGTTTAGCTATTCGAAGAAAATGTTAAAATTCTGTTAATTTTCTTATTTTATAATATCTTTAAACCCGCTAAAACTGAACGAAGAAATTTTAAATTTTACAAAACCTTTAAAATTTAAATGTTTCAAATCCGTTGAAACTTAACGAAACTTTATCAAATCTTACAAAGTTATTAAAATTCAAATATCTTAAGACCGTTAATTTTTTATTTCAAAATTTGATTTTTAATTCTCCAACAAAATCTATTCAAAATATATAGCACATGACGATACATATGTGTCCTTAATAATTCATAAATTGATCATTTAGCATTTATGATGACTTAAATTGATGTCGATCTTGTTGTGGTTCACTCAAGTCATCCAAAAAGTCAACAAGATCGTCAATTATGAAGGCATTAGTGTCAAATTTGAGTTCTTCAGCTGTGATTGAGTTGTTATTTCCAGGACTAAAATGGAAATTATATGATTTTGATTCGCATGACTGAACAGTCAGTTTCAATGTAAATAAATTTCCACTTCCAATAATATCAAAAATTTCAAAAATTCTCTTAATTTCATACGAGTCGGATGTCATGTGAAGATGCATGATATTGCAGTCAATAATCATTTCCATAGCTCTATGATCACTTTGTTGACGGAAGACGTGTTCAATACACAGACGCTGTATTGTGTTATTCATTTTAAGGAATGTCACTAAGTCATTCCAATCATTAACGTACCCAACACGAAGAATCTCAAGCTTTTCAAACCTCAATTCTGGTTGTAATGGAATTAATCTTGTTAGACTCAAATCATTCAATTCTGTACATATTAGTGCTGCATATCGCAGTACATCACTTAAAAACTTGACATTGAAGTCCATGTAAGAGTCACGAAAGGATAGCACTTTAGCACATGGATATAGTGCCATTAAAGCTACAATCATGTCAATACTATGAAATGATCCTTCCAATGTTAATGTCTTGACTGTTCTCCTGGGCTTCTTTTGATAATAGATTGATGTGTCACAGATTAAGTAATTCACTTTAAGAAGAATTGACCTTAGGTTCCTCAGCCTTTTCATAATAAAATCTAAGGATGCAGGTGACAGTAAAGCTTTCATTTCTAGTGAATTCAATGATGATGTATTTTGCGCGATAAAATCTTGGAAAAAATGGTCATATCTGGTATTGATTTGTCCTGTATAATCTGATGTCACCAAATTTAACTCCTTTAAAGCAAATGTGTAATCAGCATACTTGAAAAATTCCATAATATCACATGATACAGCATGTAACTCTAAATGTTTTAAATCGTTTACTTCTGTTAGATATGAAGTAATTGATGGATGAGCTATTAGATCTGAACTTGATAAGCGTAGACTGCAAATGTCAGGTGTATATAAGTAATCGAATATCTGAAATGAGTGCATGACATTTAAGTGCATGTTTTAGCTAACATAGATCTTACTACTTACTTCCCAACTGCTAAATTCAAAGTTAATATCCCTAATGCTGCAGCACATGATTTTAACACTTGGTTCTAGCTGTTGAGTTCGAACTAAATGAAGATTAGAGAATTCCAGGTTTTCAAGAGACACAAAGTGTCTTAAAAATGCCATAAACACAGTGTCTAGTAAGACTACATCCTTCAAACAGAAAGTCCGAATATTGCTGCAGTCAATCTGAAGAAAATTTTACAATTCGAGTCATTTTTAAACACAATTTGGGAGTATCTTTTATTTCATTTCTTACAGGAAACTCCAAAGACCCGTTCTGAAAAACATTCACGTTAATTAAACTATAGGAAGTTGTTGTATTGCGTAAATAATTCATTTTTCACTTCGTCAAACCTATTTTTGAGGTTTTTCAACTGTCGTTTTTTTTGAATATTTTCGTCAAAATTTTACTTTGAATTTCAAAAAGCCGGTAAATTTGATTGTTTTAAAGCATTTTTAAAAAATATCTGAGCGCATGAAAAATTCAGAAAAATATTAATTAAAGCGGAATTAGAAGTCCACAGTAAGTAAATTGATCTTTTTAAAAAGCATAACAGGATTAACATCTGAAATCTATCAAAAATACCTTTATTTGAGATTAGTGAAATTTAAATGAATAAAAATGTAATTATAGATTAAAATGAGGCATTGGAGTGAATTTACAGTCGATAAGGTACTGGGAAAGAGATTCTGCAACGGAAATGTAATTAAATAGATCCTTTTATTTAACATCCAGTAAGTTTTTAACAAAATTCACTTTCAGTGTCAGTACTTGCTTAAATGGAGAGATTATCCAAACTCATGGGAATCTGTCGATAATTGCAGTAACTGCATTGATTTAATTAAAGAATATGAGGAAGAACGGATTCAGGTGAAAACAGGAATGAAAAATGTTGAACTTGATCAGATTATTGGAGCTTTTCAAAATCGAGAATTAATCTTTATATTGCAATGGAAAGGCACTAGCTTTTGTACATTAATGTCTTCAAAAATAGCTAATCATGCTTACACCCAAGCCGTCATCCAATTCTACGAAGATAGATTTATCTGGCTATAAATATGAATTTGCCGTAAAGATTAAAGAACATTAAATAAAGTCTTCGTTTGGAACTGATACAGTAAATTGTAAGCTTTTTAATGATTGTCTTTACTTAATAGCTTTTGAGAGGTTTTATACGATAAGCTAAGTATTAAATTAAGGCATTTTGTGGCAATAATTTCAGTATTAGTTCAGTTTTAATTGAAGTAAGATGGATAAAACATTTTTAGTAGCTTTATTATTCAGCCTAGTCTTCTTCCTGTTGATCATTGGAAGCGACAGTAAACCACAAATTTGTCCTTGCATGTTAGCTCGGCTTGCACAGCAACGTAAATATTTCTTTGATTCTTAAAATTTAAAGATTTTTAACGAGTTTTAATTACAGAAGCACAATAAAGTCATGACGTAGAAATAGTCATGGGACATCCTTAGAAGATAATAGATAAGCTGCGTAAACAAAAGCAACTGACGTCAATTAAACCTTTACGTACTCTCAGCATCTGTTTTAATTTAACACTTGATACTAAGCAAACATTAATTACTGTTTATCCTAAATTGTCATTAAAAGTGGATGAGTGGCACACATTGAAGCACTCAAATCCTTTTTTTAAAAATTTCGTGTTATTTATTAAGGAATTGAAAATTTTCAGACACGTAGGCAGAGGGCGAAGCCGAGTGAAGTTTAGTCGACTATAGTCGAATACAAAAGTTCTCTTATTTTTGTCATTCAGGTTCGAATCTCAAAATATTTTTTGACTTTTTTAAACATTCAATTATTAAATTTCTCAGCATGTTAAAAATATTGTGCTTTACATCGTAGATACCTAAAAAATCTTAATTAAATTACTGCTAAAGACGCTTAATTTTTTCGAAATTTATCTAAGCATGACATTGAAACATTTTTTTGTGTTTAACCGTGTTCATATCTATTTTGGTATCTTATTTGACAAAACTCATTTTTATTTTAACGGTAAAAAATTGAACTTTTTTACCAAAAATTTTTGTCGTTGGCAAACAAATCGAAATTGCAAAATTTTAAAACATCACATTATGCACCCAAAACACTATTAATGCAGAACTGTAGAAGTTTTAACTGTTTTTAAAAATACAATTGACGATTCAAAATGACTTAAGTTACATTAAAGCATTAAATTGCATCATAATTTAACCAAACATTTTTTTTTTAATATTTACGAGAAATCTAATCAAATTTTTAACGGCTTATGATCATTCAAATGTTCTAAAACGTATTCATAGTTTAACAAGGATGATTTGCCTATGTTGTATCGTTTAGCAAGAGTTTTATTTGCTATTCAACCTATGAGTACTGAGGTGGAACGTAATTTCTCAATATCAAACTCATTAATGACTCAAAAAAGAGCATCCTTAAATCCTGAACGAGCTCATAGAATATTATTTCTGCACCATAATATAGAGAACCTATTAGAATCCTTGAACAAGAATGATTAATTCATACTTAGATTATGAGATTAATCTACTAATAATGACTTAATAATATGTTTTTGTTATCCTGGCTAGATCTTAAGTCCTTAATATAGAATGTTATTTCATTCGTATTTTAAAAGGACACTTTTTATGACATTTTTATTTTTTATTTTTCTTATAATACTCCATAAATGAATAAAACTAATATTTTGAATGAGTACTTAAAATATACTTTTACAGCTTTAATCTTTTTAATTTAATAATATTCGATTTAAACAATTTTAATAATACGAATTGAATGTTTAAAAAAGTCAAAAAATATTTTGAGATTCGAACCTGAATGACAAAAATAAGAGAAATTTTGTATGAAATTTTTATACTTCACAAGCCAAAAAATCCTTCTTTAGTCGATCTTAGTCGCGACTTTAGCCGGTTTTAGTCGACTAAGGAAAAACCCGTTAATTCTTTAGTCGACTAAAACCGGTTCAGTTCTTGTCTAAAACGTTGCAAAGGTCTCTTATTTCGTTCATTAAGCAGTTGAAGTAAATAAACACCCGAAAATCAGTTTTACGATCAAGATCAGGATTGGAAACGATGGTTTTCGAGTCCCAATCCTAAAACCAAACCTTCTGACATTTATCACACTTTCATACCATATATTAAAATTTACGAAAACCACGTTGTGCAAGTTTCTCTCCTAATATATTTGAAAATAAGTAGCAATTAATAATTTAGACATAGTCTCATAGATGACGCTGTCGTCAGTCAGAAGATGAATCCATATTATTGTGCAACTGACCTGCTATGCCAACTTACAAGCTATTTTGAGAATATTAAGTATGAATTCTTTATAAGAATGTCATTAATACCACATCAGATTCATAAATTTGATAAGATTAGGTTAAATCATGTCTAAACCAAGCAATTTACACTCGATCTTTTACCGATCGATTCAAAAATTCCACAGCAAAACTGATCAAACTTGATCATCACTTAACAGAACCAACCAAACTCAAAACTTTAAATTCCGTTACATAAAGTTAAAAATTTCAAATGTCACAAAAAAGTTTGAGTGTTTTTGTCAGTTACTCGTTAACCGTCGTCCGTGCTGAACGTCTTAAAAGAAATAATCTCCTCGATTCGTGTGTGAATTTATTCCTATATCAAAAGTGAAGCAACAAGTGGATATATCAAGTGAAAATTTTCAAAAAAAAGGGAGAGAGAAAAAAGCTGCCACAAAAATTTTCGGCATTTTTTTCTGTGAACCAGTCACATTTATGCATGAAATTGATGATTATAGTGATTAACTATTAAAAGTGAAATATTTGTGCAAAAAAGGCAGTTTTAAAATAATTAATGGATAGATAGGTGCACAAAAAAAATTGGATATTTCATGCGATTGCCGACACTGTAAAAGCAAGAAGTGAACATCGAAAGTAAAAGGTAATTAACAAAGCGAATTAACATTTCACATCACTCGCCTGCAAAGTTTTTTTTTGCACTTTCTTGTGATGGCATTCAAATCTTTCCTTTTATAATTGATCGACTGAGAAGTTGTTGTGACAATATTGTGTAATTAATTTGATGAGGATTTGATTAGGTCTTCATGAAATGATCATTTAATTGACTTTTTGTATCTATTAGTGACATTTGGAAGGATTTATAAGACCATCGACTATTTGACTGTGTCATAAATACTAAAAAGGGTACTTCCGAAATAATTTGAGTTATTTTTGAGAAAATTCTAAATTAATTTTCCTTAAAATAGCTCATTTGTGACTTACAAGATTAGTTTTGTCACAGAAACTATTAAAAGCTATTGATATAGGTACAATCTAAGTCAGGTGCGTTTGTCTGCTTTTAAAACTTCCATTTTAAAATTCAAGTCTTAACCATCAAAATTAGCACCAGTTACTCTTCAATAAGACAACACAAATCAAAACTTATTCAATTATCAACTCTAAATTCAATCCATTCTAACAGTTCACCTCAATTCTCTAAGAACAAATGTCGCTAAATCAACAAAAACAATCGAAAACCTGTAAAAAAAAGTTGCACAATTTTGAGTGCAAAAATGCAGTTCAATTAAAACTCATGCTTGCAGAATTTGAAAAAATTACACTCCTTAATTTCATTTGCCTTCTCCCGTTGCCGCAAAAAAAAAACATTCGCTATTTTAAACTCACATGATCTGCGAGGAATTTAAACATGCACAAGCGAATATTATTATTTTTTTTGTGTAGTTTTTCGTGATTATTTTTCTCACATATATGCTAGATTTATGCAAACATACATCATAAAGATGATGATGATGACTGTGGAAAGAATTCTTCTCGAGAATTAAACGGTTGGAAGTTGTTGCTTCTTTCGCAACTCACAAGATTCTTAGAAATGATTTGTTTCTTTCTTCATTTTCGACTACCTTGGACTTACAATGTTTAAGAAAATGAAGAGAATAAGAGATTATGCATTAAGGTGAATAATTAGCTTTACTGGAATTGTACTGTGCTGTTTGTGATGAGTTTGGATGACTAGGATTGTCTATTAGGATTACTAGCAGTTTAAATCAGAGCTCGAAGTCGATGAAATTTTGTATGGACTCGGAGTTGACTTCGCCATACAAAATCGATGAAAATCTCGAGTTGACTTCAAACTCTGGTTTGAATTGTATAAGAATTTACTGGGGATGTGATATGGACACCGCTGGATCCTCTTTGCTAACCTCAGATCAAAATTTACCACAGTTCCTCAGATATCTCAAAGCTATTGAATTAGAAACTGTGCAGATGGAAACCCTAGCCAATAACAAGATGTTTAAGAAAACAAGTCATAAAGAAGAGACACAAAAGTCTTATTGGATTCTGTTTGAGTTTAAATACAGCAAGAAATACAAACAACTGAAATGTCAGCTGAAAATGTTATTGTGCCTTACAACGTGTCTCTAAGAAAATATAGCAAAATACATCCTTTCTGGATTTCCATAGCAATGAAGATTTAGGATTTTTTTTGGCAAATCTTTTGTTCTTATGCAGTTGCAGTGCTTCCTATTTATAATGCAGAGTCTTTGTTTGTACCTTAGACAAGTGTTGTCCAAACTGTGTCACGCGGCACACTGGTGTGCAGTAGAAATTTTTTGTAAATGACGCAAGCCCCATGCTATGTGCGACTTTGGGAATGGTCTAAGTCCTTAAGTTCACCCGTGGCTCAAAAAAGTTTGAACAACACTGCCTTAGAAAATGCAACTAGTACAAGTTTCTAGGATTTACTGATCAACCACTCAACAATTAATATGTCAATGCTGATAAACCACACTGCTATCTATTAAGTCACGTCCAAAACACCACCAACAAACCGATAAAAACCAGTCATATCGTAAACCTTAAAAATGCTGTGCTGACATAACTGAAAAAAAGACAGAAGAAAAAATATTTCGACAAAAATTAAAATATTTTCATATAAACACAAATCTTTTAATCAGTACGACTATCAAGCTCAATACGAAAATTTTGTGTGTATATATTAATAACCAGTACGGAATAAAAAGAATGTTGAATAAAAAATGATTGAGAAAAAAGTAAAGTTCCAATATTTCAAGGCAATCGACTCTGTCTCGTTGCCATTTCTATTTCGGTTGACTCGATTTTTTTTTTCAAGCCAAGTCAAGCTCTTATGTAGGCTCATTTTAAAATTATATGTGTGTTTAGACTCTAGCCGCATGGCAAATATTTAGCTAACCACCGATTCATTCAGCTTTTAAAAATTGATATGTAAAAAAGAGTGACTGATTGCTATCTTTTGTTGAGTCAAAAAGTCTTTTTAATCAATGAGATTCACAGATGACATTGAACAGTCCTCATTGGTGTGGACATGTCTGCAAATATGGAATTAAAGGCTTTTGTTGCATACACTATTTAATTGCACGAGCCATAATAATTATTGCATGAATCAAATACGGAAATTTGACAAGCTGTACATGCTGAATAATCTTCAAAAATAATTTTTTTTTTTGTAGCATCCAATCGATCTGCCTTCCATTCAATATTAATTCAAGACATGTAAATAGATGGACGTATAGATAATTGAAAGCAAACGAAAACGCTAGGAATCAATAATTACATGTTACGCTTTAATGAATAGCTTGCCAGCATTTTTTTGCCGAAAATAAATTTTATCGTGTAATTTAAGCTTCCATTGGTGGCCTTCGCCGATATCTCGATATGATCGGTATGCGTAAGCAAATAGTAACAGATCTTCTTTAATATTTTTATGATCCGTTGTAAATCTAACACTCACCACATGCTGTTGATTCTTTTATGCTCATTATTGATCGCACCTTGCTAAAAACTTTCGCAAATTAAATTGTTTACTGATTGCTGAAGCCGCAAGATGATTGAAAGTGATCTAAAAACATGAGTAAGCTGATGATTGTTTTCATTTTTTAAAAGTTCTGCTGTGTATTGTGCTAATTTATGACGATACATTGTGCAAGACGATGAATTTTGTTGTTTTACACATGAAACACTCTGTTTTGACTTGGTTTGTTCAATTAGCATCAATAATCAGTGAATTCTGAATATTTCTGCAATAAAATTGCACATCAACAGTCAAAAGAATTAATATTTGATTAATTTCGAGCAATAAAATGACTTTAAAGCTACTAAAACTGCTTGCTCCACCAAATTAGACAAGAATCTCCAATCAGCTTCTCAAAAAAGCAATCACATCAAGAGAAATCACTGTCCTAAATCTCCATGTGAGAAATCCGATAGAAAACGACATGTTAATCCAATATCAATCATGTGCAAATTATAAAATCACAAAATGTTGTCAAAAAAACTCTCATTTTCGTTGCAAGCAGTCGAGATTAATTTTCACTTTAGCAACATTGCATCAAATTAAGACACTGAAGACGCTAAAAGCAAATAAACAACGGAAGAAGAAAGAAAATGATGATTGTCGAAAGCAATGAGCTTAAAAGATGTGAATCGATTGAATATTATTATTAAATTTCAAACTGCTAAATGGAAAAACTTATTTTATTTTTTTCTCGTTTGTCATCTTCTTATTCTTGAGTCGATTTTTTTTTTTTTTGTTATATGATGTTATTCGTCGAAGATGAGATGCTATTGAGACTCTTATTCAAGCGAGTACAATAAGAAAGACAAGCGAAAAAGTCAAAAAACTTTCGAATAAAATTGCAGTGTAAAAATTGTGTATGAATAATAAAGATCAGATTGGAAGTGGTTGTACGAACAAGTTGTACGAAAAATAAGAGCAAGGAAAAAGGAGAAATTCAGTCCGATTTCGTTTATCAACAGATATTCGTGTTGGATTTTTTAAATATTTAATGAACAGCACCAAAAAAAAAACAAAAATTATGAAACTGAGTGATAAATTTATTTCGCAATGAAAAATAAAAAAAATTAATCTGTCTTCACATTTATGCCCTGAACATTTCGACAATCGATGACTCCCTCAAGCGCTGACTAAATAACGTGAAAATTGAATATTTATTAGGAAATTATTTAAAAATGACTTAACACTACATGATATCATGGATATATTTGTGTTCACAAAAATAACAAGGAATAAGAATTCTCATCTCGATTGGCTAATAATGCCCGAAAGTCAAGAATAAGAGAAAGAGATGAAGCGTAAGCGATGAAAAGAGACGATTCAAAGTCACATTAAAAGCCATTGATTTCAATCCTCTCCATGTGATGTTGTTGTTAAACTCTTAAAGACAATTGAAAGTGAAATCATCTCTCTTTCTTTGGGCTTGTGTTGGATGCTTGAAATTTGAGATTTGTTTTGGACTTATTTATAATTTTGTGTCTGGTAAAGGGTCTCTTTTGGTATTTTATGCTGAGATTTAAATTTTGGTGATTAAGTTTTATAGTTAAGGAATTTAAGTTTGAATACTAAGCAGATTTAAGTAATTTTTTCTACAAATTGTCTCTATTGGGAATTGAACTCGTGTTCTTACTATTTACAGTCACTTGCCTTTAACACTCAGCTTTCGATGATTGATTCTTAGCTTGACAGAATGCAAACTTAAACTATTAATCTGTTCTAAACAGTATCTTTAATGTTATCGTTGATACAACTTTATTTGGGTATAATCAATAATTCAGGGAAGATAGTCTGAGTCTGATTGGGTCTATGTTCTTCTCTTCTAGCTAAACCAGAACTCTATTTTCCACCTCCTCACTCTTAGCGCTAAAAATAGAGCTTCATTACCGGAGTATAACTTTAAGATGCACTTCTAGGCATACAACATGTCATAAAACCTTATCATAGGCCGTTCACTTATGACGTCCGACATTTAGGGGGGGAGGGGGGTCTAGGATTTTTTGACAGTTCAAACAATGGAAATTTTTTTCTATAGAATTTTTGTGACAGAGGGGGGGGGGGTCTAAAAATCAAGATTTTTGATGGACGTC